AGCAATTAGCTGACCCTGCGCCTGCGCTCGTCCTTGGCCATGACAGTGAGGATTCATACAGAGGACTGGAGCCTGGCATTGGGCATGAAGGGAGAAATGTGCAACACAGCAACAATAAAATGGAGGGGCCTTTGCTGTATCATTAACCACGGAAACAAACTGCATGATGCACAATGAATTAAAGAGAGAAACACAACAGAATGCGGCTTTTATGCATTTCAGAAAGCCAAAGCTCTATAATTAAAACAGACTGTGTTGTGCAGATGTTTCCCATTCAGACAATAGGGCAAAGGGTTAGAAAAATGACAAATGAGGCTTCACAATAAAATATAAACAATATGGTTGTAAAAAAATTATGTTAAGGATTTTCTATTGCAAACTTTCCACAGTCCCATAAGATTACAGGGAGGGTTTAATGATAGGGCAGTAAATATAAACATTTGCACTATTTCTACTGCACTGACACTTACACAATATATTAAAAACAATAAAAACAATTGAATTAACTCATTTATATTTATTGACTTTTATTTAACTGGGAAAGCTCCTGAGATTTTAGAATCTATCTTTCAGGAGTGTCCAGGCCCCAGAGAGAGGGGATCTAATGTAATTGTATTTTAGTGGTTTGGGAAACTCCTGGAGCACCTGGAGGAAACCTGCGCAGAACTATGACAGATAAAAAAGTTGCAAGATAGCAACCATGAGGACAATGTTTCAATAAATAAAAGAGTCATCGTATTTCACGGCTCAGAAGACTCAAACTTTTCCTCTTCCTTTGCCTCAAACATGTGCAAACGCTGCCGTCACTTTTCCGCTGAGCAATTACAGCTGGGCCAAACTAGTGGCTGCCACCTAGTGACCGTCTTCTCCAATAATCATGAAATATCTCCATGGCTCACGCCCCCTCTCCGGCCATAACTCTCCTTTACTGCAGACAGCTCCAATAAAGGATTACAATTACAATTAAAGTAATGAGCAAAGAGGAAAAAAGGAAAATCTCACAGAAGGTTCCCCTGGCTAACTAAATGGTAGCCCTGGTTCTCCACAGAACGGAGTTAACATACCAGACTCATTATATGTGGCTTTTCTAATTCAGAGCACTATAATTAATATGGACTACAGTGAGACCTAGTGTTCTCAAAATTAGAATAATATGTTAAATGTGATCGATATTAAGTGAACTCAAATATAAATTGGAACATTTTAAAGACATTTAATCTTCAAGGGAAATAAGGAAATCTGCTCTTAAAGATTTTTCTCATGTTATAATAGTTAATAATTTAGTGTTTATGCATACCTAAACTGATTGAACTATACTTTTCAACCTTTGCTCATTATCCCAATCCTGCAGGCAAAAGCAATATACTCTATGAATATCACTGTGTCTCACACACTGCAATTGTAACGGGATTGTCTGTCTGCTAAGTTACGTACAGTAGAGGACCTTACCATAAGCTACTTAGTTATTTTATTCTCATTCAATGAGTTTTTATATTGATGTTTTTTTTTATCCAAACTTTTTGTTTCATAAATAATATAGTTTATGTTTGTCCCATCCATAAACAGTCCCAACAGAAAGAGTGGTGAAATGTAATTAACAAATCAGACCACAACATGCCAACTCCATCTTATTGGAAAACACCTTCTTTTTGCAAATTTGTAAGAAAGAGCCCTGAGAATCACTTTGAATTAACTTTTTAGTCTGAGAGCTGAGTCAGAGTGGGAGTTTTTCTGTCCGAAAAAGCTGATCTAGAGGCGTGAGACAAGTTAAAAATGCAAACATCCTGCAGCACGGTGGCCGAGTGGATAGCACTCTCGTTTCTCAGCAAGAAGTTTCTGGGCTCGAAACCTGGTCGGAACAGTCGTTCTGTGTAGGTTTCCTCCGGGTGCTCCAATTTCCTACTAAAAACATGTACAAAGAAAAAACATGCAGGTCTGGCATGCGTTTTCTGTACTGGCAACTTCTTTCCCATCTCTGTGTGGAGTGAAAGACAAATGCCCACAATAATTGTAAAGCGCTTTGTGACTCTGGTCTCTGAAAGGTGCTATATAAAAAAAACTATAGTTCTATCCAAACTTTGGATTGGAAAGGAAGAAAAAAGGAAGTGGAGTGGAAAAAGGTAAAAACATTTTATTAACACACACACGAGCAACAAGGAGTACATTTGAACCGAAACACATGGACTCTAGTGATGGTAGGTCTGTCATGTTGTGAAGAGGTCCGATAACTATTAGGTACCAACAGTGAGGTTCTCCCCAGAAGACCTTTCTCTCTCCACACTGTGCCCTGTGATGGCTATTGCACAGGGGCTACGGAAATCTGGAGACTGCTGAGCCAAAACAGATCACTTCAAAGCGGCTTATTTAACGCTTGCTAAATTTTTCATCACAGTCGCCTAATATCCTGGGGAAGGGAGCTTTTGAAGTTGCTATGTGAGACCACGGATGTTCGTCTTATTCAGATTTCTCCTCCCATAACCGGCATCCCTCTGTTGCGGCTATAACACCAACACTAAACAGTAATGTAATGGTTCTATACACAATTACACACACACACACACACAGGCACTATAAAACTTTTTTTTTGCAAGAATTGTGCGTCATCGTTACAACTGCTTGGAGGAACTTGTATCACTTATGAACAATTTGTCTCCAGCTTGCCTTTCAGTGCCAATGCAAACTTTTAAATATTTTATTCAATGTTTGAACTGCGGGTTTACCTTTAGGTTAAAAGTTGATGAAACTACTGTAATAAATTTAAATAATTTTTGGTCCGATCTATTGTCTCTTAAAAATGCATGTCATTTACAACGCTTAGTCAACCCACAAAAAGACGCGCTCAATCTCTGCTCCGCACCAATCCAAACTCTACTCAATACCACAACAGGGATTATAAAAGCACTTTCAAACTCATAGGCAAGAAACTGACACAGGAGGGCAGTTAAAATATTCTGTTTAAAAAAAAAACAACTCTTCCTTTTTTCCATTATGAACCATCATTCACACACACACACACACACACACAATTCAAGATTCAAGAATTTTTATTTGCCATCTGCAGTAAAACCACATTGGAAAAACTGTGCAAGACTACCCCAGTGTGCATCAGGATAGCACATGCTAGAGCTCTTGCCACGGCGCCATTTTTACGGCACCATGCAATTTTGTATTTTTATTTTTTCCAAGAACATAATACCTTATAAGAACAAACACACCCCAGTAGAAAGTCATACTTCATTTTGACTGTAAGGGCATTTGTCCTCTGCTTTTGACCCATCCTTCCATTGCTACTTTAGAGCAAAACCAAATATCAATACATACACATGTATGCAACTTGCATGTTTTGGGTGATGAGGAAACTCAACACAATTATGCAAACTGCATACAGAAAGAATAAAACACCGTTCAAAGCATGTTGCATGTTAACGAACACATTTGACAGCAGAAAGGTTCAGATACGATTTGGAGACCATACATTTGTTTCAAAAAGGCTGTCTATATGTCACAGAAGTTAAACACATCCCCTTTTGCATAACACTATGTACTGCTGAGAAGTTTAAACAGAGAATTCCTGATGTTCATGGATGGAGCTGAAAATCCCTCCAAGTATAACATACACTTTAAAAGTGAATGTCAAAAAGCATAAAAATATTGACTTTATAATGCCAATGTTTGTTTGTTGAAATGAAGCATATATAACTAGAAATGGTACAATGGCTGAAGCCATTGTGAGTGGCTGCATAGATGTTGGAAGGGTTAGGGATGAAGAAGGAAGAGGAAGGGGAAGAAGAAGGAAGAAGAAAGAAAAGGGAAGAAGAGGAAAGAAGAAGAAGGAAGAGGAGGAGGAAGAAGAAGAAGGGGAAGAAGAGGAAGAAGAGGAAGAAGGGGAAGAAGAGGAAGAAGGGGAAGAAGAGGAAGAAGGGGAAGAAGAGGAAGAAGAGGAAGAAGGGGAAGAAGAGGAAGAAGGGAAAGAAGAGGAAGAAGGGGAAGAAGAGGAAGAAGAGGAAGAAGAGGAAGAAGAGGAAGAAGGGGAAGAAGAGGAAGAAGTGAATAAGATGAAGTAAGAAGAATGTGTTGTAAGGGGCTGAAAGTGTTGTAAAGTGCTGAATGTGTTGTAAGGTGTTGTAAAGTGCTAAATGTGTTGTAAAGTGCTGAATGTGTTTTAAAGTGCTGAATGTGTTGTAAGGTGTTGAATGTGTTGTAAAGTGCTAAATCTGTTGTAAGGTGTTGAATTTGTTGTAAGGTGCTGAATGTGTTGTAAGGTGTTGAATTTGTGTTAAAGTCTTAAATGTGTTGAATTTGTTGTAAAGTGCTAAATGTGTTGAATTTGTGTTAAAGTGCTAAATGTGTTGTAAGGTGTTGAATTTGTTGTAAAGTGCTAAATGTGTTGTAAGGTGTTGAATTTGTTGTAAAGTGCTAAATGTGTTGTAAGGTGTTGAATGTGTTGTAAAGTGCTAAATGTGTTGTAAGGTGTTGAATTTTTTGTAAAGTGTTGAATTTGTTGTAAAGTGCTAAATGTGTTGTAAAGTGCTAAATGTTTTGTAAGGTGTTGAATGTGTTGTAAAGTGCTAAATGTGTTGTAAGGTGCTGTAAGTGTTGTAAAGTGCTGTAAGTGTTGTAAGGTGCTGTAAGTGTTGTAAGGTGCTGTAAGTGTTGTAAGGTGCTGTAAGTGTTGTAAGATGTTGTAATGTATTGTATGTGTGGTAATGAATTGTTAGTGTGGTAATGTGTTGTATGGGGAGTAATCTGTTGTACTGGTCCAATGTAAGTCTATGGGAAAAAGTGCTTGAACTTGTGTAAATATCTGAAAAAGTGCTAAAGGTGGAAGTGTGAAAAGTAATAGCAATAATGAGACGGTGAAGCCGGTCGTAACGATGTATAATTTGTTGAATTTGGTGAAAGCGTTGAAGAGTTGAAAAGTGCCAAAATCTGGCGGAAGTGGAAGAAGAATAAACAGTAGGAGAGCATATAGTGGCTGCATAGTCTATGCAGCCACTCAATTAGGCATATAGGCTGCAGTGGACGACAATGACTGGAGGCACAAGGGCCAGCAGGGTAATGCCAGTGAAAAGTAAAGGAGGGAGGGGCATCAGACAGGACAGTGATTCATGTGTGAGTGAGCCATCCCAAAGAGCGGGGCTGGAGGCGGGAGCAGCGGCTGGCACCGACCGATCACACTCCACACTGCAGGTCCGGAGCCCTCCCCTGGCCTCTGACGGCTCTTTGGCCCCAGAGCCGTGCCCTGCTCTGACGGGGGGAGAGGGGGAGTGTGCCAAAGCGTGCTGATGTGGGCGAGGTGAGTCACAACCTGTTAACATGACTGCTGTCCCCGGCCTGACACCGACGCGCACATGAACGCGACAGCGCTATCCGAGGCCCAACCCTGCCAGCGCTCCCTCTTCTCTCATCCAGATCAAATTCTTTCAGACACAAATTTCAATTATTCACCTCATCCAAATAATGCCATGTGACAAGAATTATCCCTACTGTAATAATCCACTTAACTGGGAAAGAGCAGCTCATCAAAAAGAGATGCAAAAAAGGGGCAGGAAGTACGGCTGGTGGCGCTGGCAGGGGAAGACGAGGGAGGGGGGACTTGTCAACCACTCTCGAATCAGGACCCTCATAACAAGAATTTCTTCCCTTTTTGAGGAGGCAGTCTTGAAGCGCAGTGGGATGATGAAATTGAAGTAAATTGAAAGAAAGCCTGAGAGAATGCTCCCACGATCAATAACCCCAGGATTAAATTAGCCTTGGCATGAGGGGATGATGGGGGGAGGATGAAGAGTGAATGGTGCTGTTGAATGACATTGAGACATGTATGCTCGACAATACATCACGTTGGTGAGCCGGACACCGCGTCCAAACAACAACAGCGAACACACCTGAGAAATAAAAGGGTCTAAAAAAAGACATTGAGACATACAAACTTTTTAAAACATGAGGCTGTACACTTTCTTGAAATGTCTCCATAAATACAGTCGGAAAAATAGTATCAGCAATTCTCTAATACTTGCATTAAAACAAATAACTTTTAATCCAACAAAATAAGATAATAGAAGGGCCTACCAACGGGGGCGTGGTTAGAAACACTTAAATCAATCTAACTTTAATCAAACATTGCTGAAAAGGAATTGCATACAACTGGATTTGAAATGACCTCTTCACTGTCGCATTAGTTTAGTCCTGGGCCCTGGACCAAAAAAATCAAGTAGGTAGCCAAATCCATTTTTTATCTAATCTATTTCCTGAAAATTGACTGTTGTTTACATTTTTGGCCAATACATTGGTAAATTCCCTAAAAATCCTGAGCTTTTCCTTGATGATGCAATTTAAATTAAATGAATGAATAATTGATATGGTCAGTAGTTGTTTTGTATTAAATGGACCACTGTGTCAGTTCATACAATATATTTTTTCCTGAATTTAGACCTGCACTTACTTTATTGCCTGCAAAAGACAGTGTTTAAAAAGTCTATAATGAGCACAAGTATTTTGAACTTTTAGCTGTGGAAATTGTTTTGGATATACTTAATTAATTACACACCAAAACAAAACAACACACAAAATAAACTCTTTGATCCAAGTGATGCTCAGGAGTCAAGAGTTTGACAGAAACACAACAATAGCCTCCACCAATTATTTAAAAGCAGGTGGTGGAATAAAAACATGATTAAAGCACTTTGGTTGATAAAATAAACCTTTCCCTGAGCTTTTCCTCTTACGCACAAGAACATGAAGAAGTCCCTCATTATGAGCTTGGGGACATCAGTGTGCCACCAAAGCAGCTAATTGGGAACCTTTCACATTTGATCTAGTATGAGGAACATACAGTATAATCCTATTTGATTAAAAACTGCACCTTGGCTAAAACAAAGGTCTTTAAAGCTGACATGACACTGACTCAGTCTTTGAAAATAATAAAATAGAAGTAGATTATTTTCCAAAAACAACTCTGCATTTTATACACTAATTAATATACATAGATCAAAGTTCACCCAGTCAGTGACATCAAATAATGATTTAGGTTGAAAAGACTCACCAGAGCTTCTCGAGGAGGAGCTGAAACCTCATCTCCAGGAACAAGGGCCGTCTGCAGATATGAAAGAACACTTGTCTTAGACCGCCATCAACTGGACATTATGTGTATTACAATCACTCTGATCTGTTGATGTTGTGTAAGGAGAGCTGCTGCTCCTGCTCAGTCTGATTGTCTGAAGCTGCAGGTGTTTAGTGAGGGTTAAAATAACTGAATTTCATCATTGAACAGGACACTCAAATAAGAGACTCATGTGAGGCATATTCTGCTGTGGAATATAAATATTACATACATATTCATATAAAAAATGTGGCCATCATTTCAGCGTATATTAATGATTAAACTTAAGGACTGTATTCAATTTCATGTTTGTAAATGTAATTTTAATATCATTCAGTACCTTTAAGAGATGCCATATTACGCCTTTTGACTTTTCTCTGCTTTGAACATTATTACAGTGCTATTTGGCCTTCATACACATGCCCAGAGTAGTTTTTTCATTGATTCCTTCAAGCTTTAGGTCGAGTGGCAACAAAATGCCTGGTTCCATATCTATGACGAACTCAACATTGACGCTCATAAACCCGAATTTTTTGGTTTTTTAATGGTTCTTAAATAATGTCATCAAAACAAGGAAAATACAGCAAAAAATATGCTGTTTTTTGTAAAAAAATAATAGAAACAGCTGTGCTGTTTTTGTGCTATGTGATGCACAAGTGTTAGGATCACGTCATCTTGAAGAAAATGTGTTTGGCATTAATATGTGATGCACTAATATGGCTTGATGGGGAAGAAGAGGAAATCTGTTCATCTGCGACACAACTGCAGAACTACGGTAACCATGGAACTGGACTGGATAAAAGACGCCAACACGGATCCCCGCTCTGTCAGTACAGTGCTAATAACTTGCCGTAAACTTCTGTTAACTAAATAATTAGGGTCTAATTCTAGATCGAGGACCTAGGATTTCTACGTGTCGGATTGCCATTGTTGGAAAAAGTGTATTCACACGTCTGAAATGACTATGTACCGGAGATAAACAACTCGCAGCTTGAGGCAACGTCACCGCGCTGGCGGAGGGAGGCGAGCTCACAGGCAGAGGAGCAGCCTCCTCTCAGCTCATTTGAGTTGAGGTGAAATCACCTCTGTGAAAGAGAAGGCTATAATCTTACAAGTTTTTAGTGCTATATCACTCATGTGCGTAGTATGGACTGTGAAACATGAAGAAGGCAATATGGAACATTAAAACACAGGAAACACGGTCATAATAATTACTATATAGAGAGCTCTAATATTAGCTGGAACAATTTAATTGACCTTTATTTAACCAGGAAAATCCTGCAGTGATTTCAGAGTCCTCGCCCCAGCTTGGGGGAGTGGGGGCAATTACAGGATACATGTTTTTTTTTGTACTACTACTGTACTTTTTTTTACTACTGTAAAATACTGTATGTGTCCTGGACAAGTTAGTTTCTGTGTAATTTTCGGCAATAGTTAAATATTATTGTTTATACTGTTCCTAAAACTGCAACACTGCTGTAACTGCTCCTGGTGATAAAGAATATTCTATTGTTTCAATATTTAAAGATATATTGTATTACACACTTTTTTCTTCATATCTTGGGAGAATTATTGTACTAATCATTATTTTCTGTATAATTCTTATTGGTGTTGCAATAAAGGTAACAGAACCATTCTAGACTTTATTATCCATTATATTAAACAGAATAATATTAGCTTTTGTTTGATCTGCATATGATCGATGACACTGAAACTACCTCAGTGTGGCACGAATAATGTTATCTTATTATATCACAGCTGTGGCTGTGAAGTCTTTACAGAACATATTTGTAAAACAGTGAGGCTGTTTGTGATTCATGTTTGGGCGACAGTAGCTCAGTTGGTAGAGCATTGGCTTTCAGGCCTGAAGGTCGTGGGTTTGATTCCCACCTCTACACCTTCTCCACCGACTCCCATTGATGACTGCTGTCGTTGTGTCCTTGGGCAAGACACTTAACCCCACTTTGCCCAAATCCCCCACTGAAAGATCAAGGCTATGCTCACACTCAGAGAGCAGCCGTCCTCCTGTGGACTCACCACCTGCAGAGGGTCAGTGAGGGGCTGGTGCTATGAGACTTGGGTGGCATCTCTGACTGTCACCCCCCTGACCCAGAAATGGATTAAAGGGTAGAAAATGGATGGATGGATGGATGGATAAGTGATTCATATATTACAATTCAAATAATTCCATAGTACTTCTTAATCTGTTTCTTCCAAAGAAACTTCCCCAACACAAAGCCAGGTTTGCATGTATACTCAGTAGGAATATAGATCCGACATTACTAATAAATCGTAAAGCAACAATGACCAGTATATCAACACTTTAGTGTGCTAACATGAATGACCTTTTATCACTGTCACTTAACCTAGAGGCTAAAATGGCACACAGGGTAATATCATGTGCCTATGTAAGCAGATCTCACAAGTCTTAAGCAGCTTCGCACCTGCAGTCCGCTGTCACACTATATAGTCACACTTTTATGATGGCACTAGTGCTCCATGCAGCAACTTTTTATGCTAACATGCTAACTAGCCCTTGTGCTAGCATGTAAAATAACATTCGGTCTGAAATATGTGCAACTTCTAAACAAATGAGGACAAAGTTGAAGACTTTCAGAGCACTCATGTCAGTAAAGACGAGTAGTGTTTAGTCAAAGAAACAAACCTGTGCAGATGGATCAGATTCAGTGGATGTCATCTTTCTTCTTTTTCATATGGCTGCAGTGTTGTGGTTCGACTACTCTGACTCGATTACTTCTCCTTCCTAAGTACATCCAAAGTATGATCCAAAGTTCGACATGGCTAGAACCATAGACTGTAAACACGGCCAGCTTGTAGTTGTACGAGTTTGTAAACTACTCCATTGTCCCTCTGCATTTTACTATTTTATATTTGTGTCAGTAAATTGATAAACTATAACCATCCTTGACTCTTGGAAATGTGAAAGAAAAAATACTGTCATATGTTCAGTAAGATCAAACCACGGATCAAAAACTGATAATGTGCTAAAACAGTACACTTTTCTTCTTTTCTTCTTTTTCTTTTTTTTTTAGACAAGCTGGCCACGTAAAAAGGCACGAAATAATTGGAATGTGCGTTTTCTTGATAAAATTAGCTTTAAATTGAGGCACAACAACATTTCATACAGCCCCATACAGTCTAAATTAAAGCAGAATTCTAAGGTTGGTTTTCTCTGTGCATTATTGCAGCTTAAAAAAGAGTGATCAGAGCTGAGCATGGATCTATAATGGGTAGCTGAGGCCAGGACAACGGGCTTCCTTCTCCAAATAGTCCGACAGCAGCTTCTTATGAATTGTTTGTGATTATTTCAGTTATTTTAGATAATTAATTGTGTGTGCTAAAAAGTAATTTGCACGCACTGTGCTTAAAAGTATTTTAATTCCTTATTATTGTAATACAACGACATAACCCTGAATAATCACATATACAAAACAAAACAATACAAATAAGACAGGATTTATTTCATGGAAGAGAAGACACGACAGTGAAGAAATTAAAAAGAATTAAAATCTTTTAAACTACAAGTTGGTTCACATTGGTGCAGTTCAATAATTCCCCTGTACTGACGCTCCGCAGCTGTAGGTGGCAGCAGAGACATATGTGTGTCTGATTCCCGAACATAAAGAAGAAGGAGCTCATTGACACTTCCGCGTTGGTTACAGGCGCGCTGGTTCTACGCCTCCTTGTCATTCACTAACATTTGTTCAAAGTGAATACATTCAACATTTGCAAACCTATCAGAGTCCCTCTTCACAACACTCACGGAAGATGACGGGGAAACCCTGCAAAGTTTTCAATTACACACGCCAGAAATCCTATGGCTTGGCGGTCCCGTCTATAGATGAACTCAAAATAAAGGGTAAGTTATGTTTATCAATTTCACTTCATGCAGTAACTTCAAGATATTGACGATGTGTAAATTACGCATTCAGGATATAAGATTTTGCTGTAGGTGTTATGGATTGTAGCCCAGCAAGCTATACTCAGCAAGCTCATTTTTTTCATGTCGAAACTTGTTTGATTGTACTTTTGAAAGTCCTGTCCTCATTCCGTGAATACTGAGCCGGCATCGCCCAAAGCTCCATGCTGATTCACTTTATCCACTTTGCCATGAAGTTTCAAGCTTCTCAGAAATAAGTCAATCTTATTTGTAACATTTATTTTATAAAACGCAACTTTCGGGCCATACGACTGGTTCACTCTGCCAGAGAGAAATGGGTGTCATTATTGCACGTTGCATTCCACAAAGTCATTGTTGATACAGAAACCTGTCCACCAGTGAACCTGTCCTACCTGATACACCCTCTAATTATACTTTATTATTGGTTTTAAGCAGCAATGTTTTGGCCATAATTTGTTTTTAAACTGTTTTTATTTTATTTTAATTATTGCTGATGAATGTGAGCCCCAGGCTATAGATTGTGTGACAACTGGATACAGACATACATCATGTAACTTAAAAAAGCTTTTGTTTACCCGTCTTTAGGAAGGGAGTCCCTTGGATTGAGCCCGAGCTCTCCGGTTACAGTGGTCCTTGAAGATGATGGGACGATTGTAGAGGATCAAGCCTACTTTATGTGTTTACCACTGAACACTAAGTTTATGCTTTTGACTGAAAAAGAAACGTGGTCTCCACTTAAAAAGAGTAATTTTTGATTTTACACCAGTTTTAATGTCTCGCCTTACATGTGTAATCTCAATGACATGTATTGATGGTGTGATCACTTGCAGTGGACGGCGGCACAGCCTGGATGGCCCGGGACTCTATGGTTATGGATACAGATGTGGTTGACGCTGGCTTTTCTCTCTGGGTGGATTTAGCTCAGCAGCTGAAGCAGGACTTGGCAAGCGTCATCCTCATGTCAGATTCAGATTTACAGGTACAGCAGCATTATGTCTAATAATTGACATTTCTCTTTATTATAGGGCTGTAACTTAAAGTCATAAACTGCTTTAATGTTTTCTGATTAAACAATGACAGCTCTAAGAGACTCCAACATATGTATGTGTAATAGCGTAAAAAGAACGTGAAATCGTAATCTTTTGTCTCATCCTGTTCAATTCAACAACAGAATTGTTGCTGGTTTAATCGATCACAAGAATATATAGAATTATAGTCCTAATTTACTATGCGCACAATGTTTTTGTCTTAGCACATTTAACCAATGCTTTTCTGTTCTTTAGATGTTGATAGACGTCTCACACACTGATTTGGCCTCTACTCTGGGCTATGATGAGAAAAAGACTAAAGACCTTCAGGAGTCACTGCAAAGATATTTGGACGGAAAGGAGGAAGAGAGACAATCTAAAGAGATTCTCCAGCTTTACCTGAAAACCATGAATTCAGGGACGGAAAATCAAGGCAAATATATTTCTTTTAATTCAAATTATATGTTACCATTTTTAAGCAAATGTGCTCATACCATGAAAAATTGGTGGCTATTAGCAGATTTCACTTTATTCAGTTGAGATGTACTACAACCATGTTGACACCAGGTGGAGCCATTGTCCCTGGATATCACATTAAAAAAGGAAACTCGATTGACATGTACTGTACTGTACGGCAGAGGCAGAGGCTGGAGACCTGGATGTCCCAGATGGGATGGAGATGGACGTAGAATCTGGGTTCTTGTCCCGTACAATCATGGTTCTAAAAGGAAAAACTGTCCCTGAGACCAGACTCTCCACTGAAGACCTTCAGGTATTCAAATCCTTGAGTTTTTCTTTTTTATAAGAGTAGCATTTAAAACCTAGGTACCCAATTTACTGTTTTGTAAAAGTCTTTTAAAAGCAATTTGCTAATTCGCTATCTGATCACATATTTAGCATGTTGGATTAAATAGGTGTGTCAAACCTTTTTTTCTCTGCAAAGGGCCACTGATTGTTGGTCAGCACAGTGCCTTTTCTAAAATTATAAACATCATTTTAGGGTTTAAAGTAAAAAAAATATATATGTAATTTCAGCCTCAGAACTTCAGTATGGGGTTTGCACCCAAATGTCTGATATGCACGTTCACGGCTGTCGCCTTACTGACCTGGACATCGACGTGCATATTTTAGACCAGCTTGTATTTTGGTTAACTGCAGAGTGGTTTCACTCCAAAGCCGTGCAGGTGCATCTCGAGAACATGTTTATTTATCAGGAGACCACACTACTGCTCAGAAGTCAGAGGAACATAGCTCATTGGCTTTAAGTGCTTTCGGATCTTTCAAGGACCTTATCTGCACTGACGCTGGAGACGGTGGACATCTCATGAAAATACTGTAAAATTACATCTTTTTATAATGTCGGCCAATTTAGAGGGGCCTCAACAATTTCTCAGAGGGCCGCATTTGAGGGCCTTATTTTTTAGTCGCCAGATGCGAATGTCTGGAAGATCTTTTCAATCGTCAATCAATTTTAATGAGTATATAATCTTTGTTCCCTGTTTAGCTGGTGGTGAGCCGAGGAGTGGAAGCCATGGAGCAGATTTTGGGCTGGGAAAGGAGCCGGACATTGTCTCTGCTGGAGGCGTGTGAGACCGAGCTACAGAAGAGACTCGAGCAGATTCAGACGGTCCAGTGCATCAGGAGTAACTCTCAAACTGACAGCAGCCAAAGACAGAACAACACAATCACACAGCGGAACACAGCGGCTCAGAGAGACCAATAGGTGATGGCCGACACCTAAGAAAAGACTGATCACGAACTGACACCCCCATTCCATTGTGTTACTGGCTCAGAGTTGAAAGACTGTTGCTGAACATTCTGGGAAAGTTTATCACTTTTTTTCTTTTTTCCCCCTAGCCATATGGAACGGGGAGATGCCAAAACTAATTACCATTAAGAACCTCTCAAGATCGCAGTTTGTGATACCTAATGGGACTAAAGTGTTTCTTCATTATTGTAAAACAGCTTTCAATTTAGAGTTGTATTCCCATAATGACCACACTGTGGATGTTTACTCCTTTTGAATTGATCTAGACAAATATATATTTTTGTATTTTCCAGGGTGTTGGTGTAGTTCTTGATCATTTATTTAACAACTTGAATGAATAGTCTAACTTTAAATGTATTGCTACTTGTATTACATCCTAAGGCACAAACCATTATACAATAGGTCGAGTACAGAGTTACATAAGTCTTATTGTATACCTTGTGTTTGAAATACTGTAGAATGGTAGCATGTGTCCTCATACATAGTTGCAATTACATTTGATATAACATTGAGTGGAGGCTCACTAAAAAGATTTTCATGGTTGAGCCATAATACAAACATTGCACTAAAGTATAATTTCTGGATGAATGTGCCTGATGATTACACACCATTGTGAAATGTATGTGCGCATAAGTATGTGATGTAAGAAAAATTAGTCATAGGTCAAGTCGGTTGGCAAGTTCTCCTTTTATTTCTATAGAAGTTCATTTTGATTTAGAAAGGTATGTCACCATAAGCGTGTCGTAGAATATTATATCCAGGTAAGGGTTTGTTTCCTGTTTATATAGGTTTTGAGAGGATAATGCCTAAGATGTTGCTGTCAAATGAAATGCCAAAAAATGTGTGTTGCAAGAAATCGAGAAAACAAATATGCAACTTATATTTTCTGGCTAGAAAATGCAGGCCAACTATTTACGAGTAGAAGTAGTGGCAATATGTCTTTTAATTTGGAAGCCGTACTACCTAGATCAAGCAGGTGTTTCGTTTACCTTAGCTATATATCTTGTAAGTAAAATTTTGAATGCACTTTTTCTACTTCTTCAGTGTTTACTTCATTCATATTGTAGTCGATGACTATTTACTGCACGCCGCTGCCAAGTATCTCTCAACAGTAGTCTGATAGGAGTCCTGGTGTGCGTAATTCCTGTGAAATTGGCCCAGACCCTCTCAACACAAGGACTGAGTGAGCATTCGACAGCACTGATCCCTGCCACACTGGGATTACGTTAGTTTAACTGACTTCAGCTAAAGTGAAAGCTGTTTCAGTTTGGGCTATGTAAGAAATCCCTGCCCTGAGGAGACTGTGGACATTTCATGCTGCAGACCTTATTTCTTGTGCCTTGATGAGTTTCAGAGAAAACACATGTCGGCAATAGACCTTTGACCACTGGGATCCAGAATGTCAAAGCTGCGTATGGGTCAGTGGCTTTGATTCGCAAACAATGAGCATGTAGACAGCAAATATAATGAATTACAAATAAATACTTCACATATCAAGTCTTCAAAGTGACCTGAGTAAATGTTATGCTTTACTTCTTTATTTATGAGTTGAGGCGTGAAGAGGTGGCAATGGGAAGACACGTGCTCCTCTGCAGGTGATGCATAGCCACAACTCTTGTTCACATAAAATCAATCTGGGATTAAAAGACACATTTCAAAGTCAACTTTATTTGTATAGCGCATTTACAACTACGCCAGCTGCCCTAAGTGCTTCACAAGCACACAAAAAACAAACATATTTGGATACACACAAATAGAATGTAAAACGCACAGTAATTTCACCCTGCCCTTGTTTACTGACTTAGTCCCAAATTAAATATGACATTGATTTTTACTTTCACATTTACTTCAGCAAAACGATCAACAAATGATCAGATGTAAAATCCAGCGCAGAGACAAAGATTCTTTATCTGAATAGTCTTTGTTTGTTGATTATAGAAATACAGAAAACTACATCTTTAAAATTTACTCTTGTTTAGTTAAAACATCCTGTCACTCACACTACAGTATAGATAACAGATAACTAGAATATCAACAGTATACGGGCATGACACGGCTTCACAGCTTGTTGCACCAAGTATTATTGCTAGTATCAATTGTGTGTAGTTTTAAAATCTTCCTCATCTGACTCACATGTACGCAACAGGCTATGAAAGTGTTTTTGTTGTCACTCCGGTTGGTCTGCACGCCCCTGTAAGCGTAGGGTCTGAGGAGGGTCAAATGGGATTTTTTTTTTTTGTCAGTACGATTGATCTGCTTAGTGTCCAGAGGTTGGGTCCCACAGGCTATTACCACAGACTATTACCTCATCACTGAAGGATTGGGCTGGTAATCCCTGTTGGAGGCCAAAACAAAGTTATGTCATGATGGAGAAACTGTGACGATATCGGACAATCACCAGGGATTATATTGGTCCCATCACGTGAATGCAAATGGACAATAATCGCTGACATTTCAAGACTCCATTTAAAGAAGTCTGCATTATACAGTTATAATATACTGCTATAAAAGTCACATCCATTTCATCTGTGGTATTTAGTGACAAAATTGAGTAGATTCCTAAACCAAACCCATGCTATCAAAACACATTGTATGGTTATGTGCCTGAACTGAAGAAAGCAGCATAGACTTGATTATAGTCATGAGACTATCCACGAAGACTAGACGGCGTGCTCTTCTGCCCCTCTTGAGCGCCACAGATGGTGGAAGTGTTGGGAGAGTGGCTTCCAAAGTGCCAAACAAGAGGCAATTTCACAGGATTGAAAGAGCCCAGAATGACTGTTTTGATAGAGAAGTACTGCTAAAGAGTGAGATTATAATATGAATAATGCATGTGCGACTTGACCCGCATGAAAAACTGAACGTCTCAGGCTCTATACTATGAGTACATTCTTTAGACCTGGCAGATGGTATATCAGGTAACTAGGCATATGAGTAAAATATTAACAACATACATAAATATCTGATGTATTGATATATGTATTGTTGGAAAGCAGTGATTTGAGTTCTTCAATTATTCATTCAGTATCAATAAAATGTATTAAAGTCTGACTGTTAAATGGGCTTGTTTTACTGCATTTTTTTCTCCATGTAAATGATGTGTCCAGAATGTAGATCTATTGCATCGACGCCAAAGGGCAACACAGAAGGCAAAAAAGGTCAGATCTATGCACAGGAGTAATTTTGAATCAGACTAAGTTGTTGAAAGCCCTGGTTGATAGTTGGGCAGCACAATATGAGAAAATGTGGGAATCAATACCACTGTTCAATAGCACTGTCTGCAGTTAATGGCAGGTACACAGACTAACAGATGTACATGGAGGAGATCTATGCCCAAAATTAATCATGACTGGAATATTTATATAGGACACAATCTAAATTTGAAAGCCCAAAAGTTAGTCATCTATTACTCACATTATTTTGTGAGTACGAACTGACTAACTAACTAACTTCACTCTTTTCTAGAAGCAACAAATACATTTCCTTAGCTTCCTCTTTGGATCGGCATATTGTTAGGTGTAGTAGTTACCCCCTTCAGTTGCTTCCGAATACTGAATCTCAATATTATTTTTACTTTTCAGCATTGCAAATAATCATCTCTGTTAGCCTCTACATATGTATAATTGTATGTAACTGTATGTATGCAACTTTTGCTGCCTCTTGTCCCGGACTCCCTTGAAAAATAGGTTCTTAATCTCAATGGGACTTTCCTGATTAGATAAGGGTTAAAATACAAAAATAAAAACAAATCCCCATATAGTAGTGCTCATTTCTCTGTGTTTGAACTTGATCACTAATGAAAGTAATGGGTCTGTGGAACAACATAATTTTTTCTTTTGAATGGATGTCCAAGAGGATAACTCCAAAAGTGACACAATCTCGTTTTAGTATTGTGATATTGTGTTATGAAAACATTTGTAGTGTTTTGCATTATATCCCATTAGTGTCTCTCTCATAAACTCCCACGTATCTTAAATTACAACACGTTTTGATCTTTTGCCTGGTATAGTACCATCAATCAGACTTTAACACTACTATACTTGATTTTCCATCCTCTGTTTCTTCCACTGCTGTCTGAGCTGAAGGTCACATGGACTTGATAACTTCCTGTATCAATGCTGTTGGGAGGCGTATATCCACAGAAAGGCCCATACTGCTGTCCGACGGTGGAAATCTTTCAAATAGGGAGACAAATGCAGTTAGTACACTCTTGCCTGATTGATGCATTCCTAAAGTTACATATGCACGGCCTCACATGTCCGTGCGGTTTGTCTCTGGTAGACGACAGATCAGTGACAGCCCGCCCCCACACACGCATGAGCTGGAATACATTTAGACACATGACTTACTCTGAGCAGGTCGTAAGGACAGGGGACTTCCGGGTGGCTCTCTATATCAAAGGGTTCGGAGAAGTCCAGCAGGATTCGGAAGCCCTCTGGTAAAGTGATGGTGTGGTTACACTTGGTCATAGGAGGATATGGGTTTGGGTATCCAGGACTGCTCAGAACACCAGAGGGATCAGTCAAAATTTGGGTCTCACATGGAACTGGAAAGGATGAAAATAAATTAAAGCTAGAGTACCTAACTTTATAAAAACAGTTTGTTTGTCCAAAAAGATAGTCTTGTAAAAGTTGAAATTCTAAAAGAGCCTTTTGAGTCACTGGTTGACACCTTGGGATGAGAGCTGATTTGTTGTGTGAGGGTGGTCCTCTCTTTTTAAATTTTCTGTGTAAAAAAGCTGATCCAAAGATGTTATAGAGGCCAAAAAAATGCATGCATGTGAACTGTTTTGAGATTGAGGGACTGTTGTATTATAGTTATGTGGTTTGAAATGGAGCTGCTTAGATGCTAGCTTGCAAAAGAGAGTCATTTTAAGTATGGGAAATACTGAACTTGAAACTTGAAACAAACCACCGCTGTAGATTTTTGGATTTGTGTAAAACTAAATAATTCAACTAACATACTTATCTTATTAATCTACTTCTAGATCATTTGCAATTTATTCTAGAACTACAAAACCTAACTTTACAACAACACATCTCAAGTGTATTATTACAATCTCAATGTATTTATGACATACCCATTTTCTATAAATGTGTTTAACAATAAATTAATGTTGGGATTTCTCTTTCTTTTGTATGAAGAGTTGATAAAGTTGAACATTTATTGACTAAAAATGTGAAATGGCGATATTGACATTGTAAGGTTAATGAATGAGTACCTCCTGTTGTTATTCCATTGGCATGTGTGCAGATGTGAGGTCAGGCCGTAACAAATGAGTTGCGCAGAGGGGCACGGTCAATGCCATTCATATCATTCGTTTATTCTGGTGGCAGATAATCATTTTTGCCTATTCATTGCATGATTTGTTTTGTCAGTGCCTTTTCCTTTCGGCAAAGAATAATAATGTGTAGCCCATCATGAGGTAATTGTGATTAATTACTCATTGCCGGTAAACTATTAGCACTGTGCACAGGTTTCAAATTTGAATGCCTTTTTAAAGTCACTTTTACTGCGGAACTCTGATAATTAACCCTGCCTCTGCACCAACAATCAGCCACTGAAAATAGATTTCACACATCAGCTGCGATCTCTGTAACAGACATATCAGTACTTTATCAACAAGATGGTACAGCCTTGTTTAACTTTTACCATGTGACGGATTTGAGTACTCGACAAATCATTCAAATATATCTCTTTAATCATGTATTTTTGATGAAATGTCGATCTATTTATTTTATATTGAATGCAATAAAAAAAAAGCTTCAGTTTTCTGGGCTCAAAAATAAAACATCAACGTTCAAACAAAATACAATCAATAGAAGGGTAATAGTTTGGTGAAACAGCCTCTGTCCGCTCACTTCATTCTCCACTGATGTAAGAATATATAAACACATATGCTTTGGTTTGTTACCTGTGCATGACCGGTTGTTGTCATGGAGAAGATATCCTTGTTGACAAGTGCAGTAATATCCTCCAATGTAATTGTGGCAGAAATGGTCACACGCAGGCTCTCCGTCAACCTTCAAGAGGCACTCGTTGATGTCTACCAAACGTGTGACAAAATGGAATGTAAAAGTGAACAAAAAAACAACATAAAAAATTGCTTTTTGGAAGAATATTAGTAGTAGAAGTATTAAATACTTAAATGCTCCACAAATCACGAATAAAGAGTAAGAATAAAATGGCAGAACTTAAAATGGCAGAAATAAAAATGCAAACATTTTATGTAGTACTTTTCTGGACACTCAAACTTCACTCAGCATCATTCATTCACACTAGTGATGATGCACTGTAGCCACAGTTGCCCTGGAGCAGACTGATGGAAAGAGACCTATAATTTGTGCCATCAGCATTTTGACCACCTCCAATCATTCGCTGACACACCATACTTATAATGAATGAAGCCTTTAATAGTCCCACAGTGGGGAAATTATGTTATGTGACTTGCCAAAGGACACAACAACATTTTTGCACTTTTACGGCCTCAGCCGAGACGGTGGCACCTGGTGTTCCCAGAGGTCTGCCATCACAGTCCTGACCAAACCCTGCCCTACTTAGATTCTGAAATGTGACAGGATCAGCCTTTTCACAGAGAATGCCATTCCCTCAAAAGGAAGCAGGTGACTAAAGTGAATGTACCCTGTATAGTCTGTTTATCTGTGTGCAGCACTGTGGACAGCTGTATTCTGTGTTTTATAACTAAAGTTGAGCTGAGCCTGCCTGTTTAATGGAGGTGCTGCTCATGGATGGATGAAGGACGCATCCTGTTCAAAGAGAGAATGTGTTTATTTCAATATCAACCTCTTTAAGTTGATGAATGCAAGAAAAATAGATTTTGATACCATATAAGGTATTTTTGCACGCAAACCTTTGATGAATACATCTTGTCTCATCATTTGTTGTGTGCATCTCATCAACATTACATCACACCCCATTACTTCAGAGCTGACAGTGATTATCTGTAAGCTATAAGTGTCATCACCTTCAGAGGTGTAGAAAGCCTGGAATCCTGTGAATCTTTCCTCGTTGGAGAAATCGCTCTTGAAGACGACCGACAGAAGGTTTGTGGCTGATATAATGACTGTGTTCCTGGGGCTGCCTTCATCGCTCTTCTCCTGCTCTCCACAGAAGCGCAGGGTTTCATTGCCCTCAACAAAAACCTGCACTGACAGAACCAAAGATCACAGCACAACAAAGGGTTCTCATGGCGGGGTTACGGACGCCCCCAAAGATATCTCACAACAAGGAAGCCCTCTTACTCGCTGTCTCCTTGTCAGTTAGTTTTGACTTTTGTGGATACTGTCTCTTTATCTGAACTCTGAACAATTGTAAAACGCTTTGGGTGACCTTGGTCTGTAAATTGCGCTATTTAGATAAACATTACTTACTTGGAGCTGTCCACCATGCAAATACAGGTAACTAAAGAAATAACAATTGCGGTGTGGGGCAGCTCCATAAAATATGTTTTTATCTTGTGTTGAGTTTTAATAACTGTTGCACAATTGGTTATAGAAAACATTGTGGCCCTATCCTCCGTTGTATGCTTCCTTATTACACAAAAGTTAAAGATCTTTTAGTTGCTTCTTTAAGCAAGAGTCAGAGCATTATTGACTTTATTTTTAGTTATTTTTTTACTTTAGTTATTTTTCACTTATCTTGTGCTGTGTGCTCCTCATTTCTACTGTTCTATAACTGGTGATGCAACACTGAAATTTCCCCACTGTGGGACGAATAAAAGATGTCTCTGAAATGTGTTAGCATTGTGCATTAGGTACATGCACACTTTTAAAATCAATTATTATTATTATTTTTATTTTTACTCTGAACAAAAATACAAGCTTTCAAAAATACATTACAAGTTTGAAATATCACAGTTAAATATTTTGCAGAAATGGTGCAGCACTACTGTGTGACACATGATACAAGTTTGTACCTGGACATAATCATACTCGCACTGGTCTGAGGGCTCCAGGCTAAAGTGGGTGAAGTAGAGTTTGAGTCTGTGGCCCACCGGAGCACTGATGTTCCACGCTTGGAGCTGGTTGTCAGGGTACGGGTGAGGGAAACCCGGAGAGCTAAAGCTTCCGTACAACCCAGTCACCTCCACACACACATGAAGCACAGCAAGCAGAGCCAGGACATGGCACCCGCTGGAAAAAAAAACAAGAAGAGAAGACACATACTTTGTTGCACCTAAAATGTCTTTCTTGACTCGTACCTGGCCATGGTGGATTGCGCTGTCTGTGTTAAGGGAGTATTTCAGCCTGAGTGATCAAAAGGTGAATGAACCAGGACTGAGGCCAGAGAGAATTTAGGCAAACAAAGATAAAAGGATTTACTTTACTCAAGAGGTTAAAAGCGCTATTGTAACCATTCCAGCAACTTTGGACTCTATCGAATTGAATTTGACTTTACTATATAATATTTGTGATGAATAGAAGTGAAAGTACATTGAGAATTCACAGCCACCCATCCATAGTACGGCATAATAGGCAAGGCAAGTGGACTGGAATAGCAAGAAAAGAAACATTACAATTATAGAGGTACAGTTTTAAAATCAGGTTGTCTCAAAACTATTCAGATCCATTCTATTCTGTCTTATCAAATGCCGGGTTGTGGGGGAAGTCTGAGTATAGACACCCAGACTTCACTATCCACAAAACTAGGTTGTCCCCAATTAATATCTTTATTATAGTTTCAGCATATCAGTAAGTATCATTTCATGGTGTGATTGTGAACAATATTATCAAAAGTACAATTATGGTTGGAGATATTAGGCCGGCTCAGATGCTTCTGTGGATTCAGTTACTGTCCAGTTGGACTGAAGAAGATAAATGAAAAAACAGATGTTTGTGAATATCTTGTTCCCTTGTGCAGTGCTCCACTCAAACAAACATCTATCTCATCAATCAAGATGGCCAAACTGGAATGTGAACCCTCACGTTGCCTAGAATGACTCTGGTGTGTGTGTGAATGGTTGGTGGTGATCGGAGGGGCCGATTGCACATATTGGTTGGCTCGCTTCTGTCAGTGTGACCCAGGGCAGCTGTGGCTACAGCAGTAGTTTATCACTGCCGTGAATGGAGTGAAAATAGAATGACAAATCAAGCGTCTCTGAGTGTCTGAAAAAGAGCTACAGTATACAAAACTGATGCATTAAGATGTCGCAACTACAAAAAACTTCCCCTCGGGTTAACTTTGGGGAAAGACCTTTTTAAATGAGATTGTATTCACATCATGTTTGGAAACCCGCTGTCACACACTCCACTGCTTGGGGAACTTTCCTTGGGGCAGAGACAGTGACGCTGATCAGTTTCGACTTGTACGTCTAATTATTTCAGGCCCCGCTCCCCCGATGGCCCATGTTAAAAAAAACAATTATACCAGCCGCTACCATTTACCAACAGAGACAGTTTTTTTTAGCTAATAACCATAGTTAGGGCGTGAAGAGTCAGCAGCCCATACGTCAACACAATACCAGATAATGTACACATCTGGCCATGCTGAGTGCTTAAAACGTCTATGTGGAAAAAAGCCTTTTACAATCACAAATGGGGACTGAGCCACAGATTTCTGACCAAGGGTATTATTAGGAGGCTTATAATAACAAAGACCATTTCCGCCAAACAAGCAGGATTACAGTAATTATCAGAAAAAAAGATCTGTGTTGATTTCCCCATTGTCAATAACCTCTGATGGTCTACAGTGAAAATGGGGCTGTAACCTATTTGAATTCAGTTGAATATGGGATACCTCATTATGAAGCCAATTATAGAATGGATGACTGCAGATCTGCTGTCCTCTCGCTGAAAAAGCTTCGACCCTCATTCTTCTGCAAGATAAAACTCTCAAATAACTTTATATAAATAAGACGAATGTTGGGTATAGGACCACAGTGTAGGGGATTCACTCATGCTGCTATACCTACATGTGAAAGCCAGATCCTGTCAGACCTCTGAAGCAGGGGAGGACCTGGTTAGTACTGCGATGGGAGATTACAGTACTAACCAGGAATAAGTTTGGTGTGTGTGTGTGTGTGTGTGTGTGTGTGTGTGTGTGTGTGTGTGTGTGTGTGCGTGTGTGTGAATGGCTGGTGGGGTTCGAGTGGCTGATGGCACATAATGATTGCCTCGCTTCTGTCAGTGTGCCCCTGGGAAACTGTGGCTACAGTAGTAGTTTGTCATAACAGTGAATGGAGTGAATGAATGATCAAATGAGAGGCGTCTTTGGGTGTCCTAAAAAAACAAAGCATTATTATTAATATTATTATTACTGCATGGACGCACAAGATGTATACGTCCAGGACTGACTCACAACCATTTAGATAGGGTTCAAGGCTGTTGAACTAGAGTCCAGAAGCTGGGATAGGGTTAGGACACTCAGGAAGGTGGAAGATGGGTTGACTTTACCCTAACCCTAAGTCCAGGTGGGAAAATACAGAGACCAACAAAAAAGTGTGTTTTAAAAGATACTCATAAGTAAAAACAGAATTGTCTATTGTCCTCAACAACAAAACTGAGAATGACATTTTCAAGTGATTATTTAGTTTTTGAAGACAGCATTTTTAAAATCCAAACATGCTGATGATTTGTGCCTAAAAGCATTTAATATGATGACAACAAATTCGTCTCTTCACTAAAAAGACTAATTTATGAAAGTCACTGTAAATGTCAACGTCGGTGTAATTGGCACTAAATGTCAGCCCTAAATAATAAATCTCTTTCCTGTTCAGTGGGTCAGACACTTAAGACAGGTCTGTTCTTGCTGAAGCTGATCCTCTTTAGGTCACATTCACCTAGCAAAGACATGCCGTCGTCACCTTAGATCCACCTGACCTCCTTTGAACACGTCTAAATTAGTATAAAAAGTAGATATTTTTGTTGGAAGTTGGAGGTTGGAAGATTAACTGTGATCAGAAGTTTTTATGGCCACCATTTGAAAATTGCAAATACTGCGATAATAAGTTATAAGTAGTTATATATAAGTTATTTGCAAACACAAAAGGGATAACCAAAAAATCACTTGAAGTAGGAAAAATATCTCAGGATTCAAGTATATTTTGAAGATTTTGTATGGCACTAAAAAGATGTGGCTCACGAAACGACTTGGTAAAGGGAAAACTGTACGCCTTTTTCTAATCTATTGTTTTCGCAAATGAAATCATATTATAAGAAATTTGTGAGAAAAGATAACAAGTTACCGAAAGAGTTTTACGTATATTTAACATGTCCGCAGTGAATCTTTTATCCGTCTACAAGAAAGAAAAATGGTTGTTAAACTCTGCAAACAGGTTACCACTTTATATGTAGCCTTTTCTAATGTAGCTGTCTTAGCATTGTTATTTTCACTCCAAACCAAATCAGACTTTTTAAACATAAAGAATTTGTAAAAAGTTGGTCAGAAGTATTGTAATTGTAATATTAGGGGCCGATGGCACATGGTTGCCTCGCTTCTGTCAGTGTGCCCCAGGGCTGCTGTGGCTACAGTAGTAGTTTATCACCACTGTGTATGGAGTGAATGAATAATGTCAAGTGTCTTTGAGTGTCCAAAAAAGCGCTATATAAAACAGATGCATTATTATTATTAATTGGATATTTTACAGAAATTGTGGAGCCCTATTAGAAAAGTCATTCTACTTAAAGCCTAATGAATTACATGTTTGCAGTACATTCCTATTCTCTCACCATTTAAGCTCATGATGGTTTTTGAATGAAACACATGTTTGAAGTGGGTGACGTCATTGAGAGACCGCTTTAGTGACACCGCCGCTCTCTGAATCACAGCTGGATCCATTGAGAGCTCACTGGGATGGAGGTAATGCTATTGTCTCGTAGAAAGCTCCTGAGTCTACGTCAAAAAGCCAAGAAAGGAGCGATTACGTCTTCGCCCGCATGCAGCAGATGAAAGAACATGTGACTGGGAAAAGAAAACTCTGGTAGCTGTTTTAAAAATAGTTTCTTGAAACAAATGTACCAAGCTCTCCAAACAGGTTCTATCGCCAATTTTCACATGGATGTATTTTTGGCCTCTGCCAGATCAGCTTTTTCAGACAGAAAAGTAAAGAAGAGAGGACCCCCCCTCACTCAGCCAATTAGAATCAAACAGTGACTCGAAGGGCTATTTCTTACAAGTAAGCAAAAGATAAAATGTTTACATAAGAGGAAGAGAGCACAATGCGACCTGATTTGTTCATACCATTTCTCATTTACAGAACTGCAATATAGAACAGCAATGGACATGATGGCCCCATTATTTATGCAAAACTGTCCAACCAGAAGGAAGAATGAGCCTTACATGTCTGTAATTTGAATTGTGACAACACAGCTAACCCAGTGTAAGAAAAGTTTTTAGCAGTAAAAACTTCCGTAGATAAATGTTTGATACTGAAGGACATTCAAATCACTGAAATAACATCTCCATGGTAATAAGCTGGTGGCAATCCCACAACATTTTCAGAGTGGACCATAAAAACACTGATTGTTTTTGTGAAAACAAAAACAATCCCTGTAAGAAAGTTCTTAAAAGATTGTAACAGCATGAATTTATACTTCACGTGTGTCATGACAAATGAGCTCCAGCCTCTGGGAGACAGATAAGATCATATAAATGATGAATTCATTACAATTCTTAGAAAAATGGTAAACACAGTTCATGAAAAATGCTCAGTGGCCTAAAATCTACCTTTCAAATGTACACCTAATTGCACTAAAAGTCCTGGACAAAGCTCTCACTTCTCAGTGACCCAGCAGTTCATATTATCTGTGCACTTCCCTTCAACAAAAATGCATTATTCTGTGCTGAGTACAGGTTGAATAAAACGTCTTGCAACATATCTGTAAGTGCTACAGAACTCAAAGTGAGGTCAGGTAATGCCAAACATGCATTAATCGAAAGTGTTTTAAATATGTGCGTCATAGGGCACCTTTAAAGGCTGTTTGTGCATGTGCCGTAGGTAATTTAAATAGAAAGCACGCACGTGAGCGAGAGACAGCGTGGCAAAATACGCTTTATTGGTGCATGCATGATCAAACCGGGGTTAACTTTTGCAAAACAAACAGCATACTAGTTTGACTGCCACAGCTGCCTGTTGTGCTGCGCAGTAATGAAGAGGTTTCTCCAAGACATCAGGTCATTATTAGGGTTCAAGAAACATCAAAGAGACTTGTAATACTGCAGGATCCTAGAAAAGATGGGTAGGAAAACCTGAGAGGAGAGTCTAAATTATA